CCTACACGTAATTGACCCTCGAATCCAATTTTGGCTATAAAGGTCATTATGGTTATTTGAAAAATCTTTTCTTTTTTTCGATGTTTTGATTAAAATATCAGTGGCAACTCTTTTGAACCTTTTCAAAAACCATTGATTAGGGATTAGTCTCGTTTCCGGGTATTCCCTAACAGATGAAATTTTAAAAATGGAGGTCCAAACCATCTATGAGCAAGAGCAAAATTTTTCAGGTTTTGACAGATGGTAACTTCACTGGGAAAACTTAAAGAGTGTCAAGCCCAATAAATGATGAAACTGACAAGATAAGTATAATAGTTCAAATATTTTTTCCCCTTTAGTTTGTTTGTTTTGATTTGCTTGGCTTTAATATCTACATGTTTGTTTAAATTTAGTACCTATTTGAAATAAACAATTGTACACAAACCTTTGCACACAACAATTCCCTCTATACTTGGGGGCATGAGCGTGTAAACATAGGGAGTGATTGACATACGACCAGCCCAAGAATGGCCTTAAAGCTTGTGAACCTTGTCGAAAATCACACTCAAGGTGATAATCAATTACTCTAGCATGAAATACTGCGTGAGGCCTCAAAGTCTGCTAGGTGATGACAATAAAGATATTGGGTAACGGACCATGGGTCACGAGCTCAATCACTAGAGCTATGTCCAGGAGCATTCAGGAGGGATTGGACAGCTTAAAGACTAATGGGCTTTCTAAGCCCAAGGTTCTATTCATTTGGACCACCCTATCATGAAGAGAAGGCATAGTTCTTTTGTATATAACTTGTATATAGTTTTCATTGTATAGGTCACTTTTTGCCTTTGTATCTGTGAGGCACTTTATTTCATTTTTATAGACCATTGTATATTGTTTCTAGGGTAGGTTATTTGGAGACTTTGACTCCATTTAACCTTGTATTGAAGGTCACTTTTTTTTCTTATATTTTTTCAATAGTAGAAGTGGGGTGGCAATTAGCAATGTTTGATGGTGTGACTAGTAATTGGGCCATAATTGGGCCTAGGCAAAATTTTACATATTAGACTTGTTTTGCTCCTAATTTTTCAAGGATTTGATTTATCTAGGTCTCATCATTTTTGGATGAACCTAACTAAACCAAATCAAACATTTTTGGAACGGATTTAGTGAGCAAAACTACCCTAAGGCCACTTAGCTTGCCCATTTCCCTTCCTTGACCGAATTGCTTCTTTTCTCCTTAAAGCTTTGGGAAGCTTGTGCTACAAGCTTCTAACTTAGCTTGCTTCCCAAGCAAGCTAAGATAGAAGCTTGCTCCATAAGCCTCCTAAACTAGGATGGCCGGTCAAGCAACCAAACCATGGTTCTCTTAAACCATGATTAAGGTTAGCTTGCCCCCTAAGCTACCTCCTTCTCATTCTCTAAAAGTGATACTTTGTTATATAAATTCAAATCAATGTATAAAATACTTCTATGATTATTTGTCTATTTGAATTAAAAAAAATGAAGTATTTAATAACTTTTAAAATTTTCTAAAATTTGTAGACTTAATATATGCATTAAGAACTTTTAATTTAATGATTGAATCGTTAAAATTCAACATATATCATGAGTTATTAAGTGAAATAATTTAAGTAAGAGTTACTTTTAGAGTCATTTGATCCTCTCTATATATATATATATATAGATATATGTTTTTTTAGTTCTCAGAATTATATAATATTTACATTTTAATATCTACAGAAATAGAAAATAAAAATTAAAAAGAAACAAAAAAATAACATGTATATTGATTAACGACCCAAAAAAAAATGAAACAATTATTTACTATAGAAACTCGTTATAAAGTTTATGAAACAATAAAATCTAAAACTTTTAAAAATATTGATCATACCTGTAACAACATCAAGTTCAAGAACATTGGCAATCTGAGGTCCGAACCTAAAGGTTCCACCAAAGATCCCAGCATTAGAGAGTGTGCCACCAACCGTCAAATACAAATAATCAGTAAAAGCCAGAGGAGTGAGTCCATGTTTAAGAGTTGCATTCAACACATCAATCCACAGTTGCTCACCACCCACATCAGCATAACAACCCCATGAACTCTTCCCATCACAAACAACCTTAATTCTTGACCCGTGTTTGAAAGCATTGAGGTGAGTCATGTTCAGCACCACCCCATCTCGCGTCATGGCTTGACCACTAACCGAGTGGCCTCGCCCTCTAGTGGCTATGGTGAAAGGATTGGGAAGAGAGTTTGAGAAGTTTATCAAAGCTGAGATATCTTTAACGGAATGTGGCTCGAAAACTGCCTTTGGGGTTTTGTGAACTATTTTCCCGAAATCATTTGAGGCTAGTGAAAGGGCTTGAGGGTTACGTGTAAACTTTGAGGCTAGGTCTTTGGGTACTGATTTGAATGGTGACCATGGTCGTGAATTTGATTGTGCTTGTGTCACAACTGTGCTGAGTAGCCACAGCACAGTCATAACTTTTGAAAGCACTATATTCCACGCCATTTTTTTGGTAGGGAAGGTTAATGAATAATGAGTTAGTTTGATATGTGCTATTGCTTCTAATTGGCTTGTATATATAGTAGAAGAAGTCTATAACAATATATTAGTTTATAGAAAAAGTCTTTATCGCCCGCTTATATTTTAATTGTTAATTTTCACTTACGTAATGTTGTGTAGAAATTTGACTACGTAGATTATTTATTGATTTCTTTTTATTATTATTATTATTATCAAGTTATAGCTATTATTTATATATATATATATATATGATAAATTTGATAGTTTTTATAATTATTACAATAAAATTATATCAACAATAAATTCTAATTTATGAATAATATAGTTTTTATTATATATTACAAATTAAAATCTAAATGTTTTCCAACAACTAGTTTTTATCATTTTCTCTAGTGTGTCATCACAGACCTTTGACTTTAGTTTTATTGTTATGGGTTTTGTTATGATTAGTGTGACATTGGAGTTAGTAAAGGATATATTTATGTATATTTTATGTGTGGAATACTTGAAGTTATTTTTATTAAGTTTTATTTTCTTAAAGTTTTTTAAAGGCCAATTTTGTATTTTGGTTTATGACTTATATCTTATTTTATTTTCATTCTTTAATATTGAAGTTTTAATTCAATAATTTAAGATGTGTATAGAGTCTTTTACATTATGAGTCAAGAAATTAAATTTATTTTATTTAATCTTTCATAAAGAAACATATTTTCATAATAATTTTACATTAAATGTTTTGGGGGTAAAAGAGTGTCACAACTTCTAGGAGCTTCAATACCCTTCCCTAAAGTGATATCTAGCCCAGAAAGTTGATTAGGAGTTTGTAGAGCATGGGTTTGAGAAGATATGTCAACCCTAGAGAGTTTTGAAGTTCTTCCTTTCTTTTGATTTTAACTTCTAGAAAGTTAATTAAGGTAAAGGAAACTTGTTTGTTTGTTGTTTATGGTCGATTAACATAGTATGTTGAGATTGATAGCCAATTTGATGGCTGAGTGTTGAGTTTTGAAAGATTTGCTTAAGTTGGGGGTTTTGGGGTGATTTTTTGGGTCTTGCCTAAGAGGGATGATTTTGTACACTAACCTTGTTGCATGTGGATTTTGATGATGAATTTGAAGAACTAAGGCTGTAACCTTTGAGTTTGATGGTTTGGATTTTGAATTTGGAGCTTTTAGATGAGCTTGTGGGGTATGGAGGGGTTTAGAACCAAAAATCGTGAAAATTGCAGATGGTATCTCCAATGGAAATTCCCTAGGTGTGTATTATGTCGAGTTAGGTGAATTTAGGGATGAGACACAAGGTGGTGTATTGAGTGGAATTTGATTGGAAAAATTACCTCTCAATAGGCAAATTGAGGGTTGAGAAAAAATTAATTGAGTGAATGATTTCTCGTAGAGTGATGATTATCACGATATGAAACATTATCTTTGTATATAAAATGATTATTAATTATATATTACACATTTATTAACAAAATTGTTATATATGTAACTCACTTATGACATTCTCAACATAGACTAGTTAAGGAATAAATATATTAGTTATACTAGCTAACATTGGGGAGATTTTAAGAGTTAACTCAATAGTGAGTAAATTTTTGGTGACAAGAAAGATAAAAACTCTTGTCATCATTATCAATATCTTTATTAGGAGAGTTGGGACAGGTTCTACGAGTACCTAATCTTGCCAAATTATTTGGTAATTAAGTTAACCCAACAGTTATATAAATTATTTATTTACTTATATGTTTTGGTATTATTAATGAATTTTTTGTTTCTATTATGTATAAAATAGGAAATGAGAAGTCGAGCATAGGAGCTACAAACTTTTAATGTCTACATCCATGTATTGTCCCGTGAGAGGTATGATAAGCTTGAGGAAGATATAATGAAGGAAGATGCCTCTTCTTTGGCTAGTGGATCAGGGGTCAACCAGTAGAGTCGACCTAGTCATTATGCCAAGTGGAGAGTAGCTTGACAAAGAAAATCAGAAGAATACACAAATGATGCCACTTAGGAAGTAGTAGGTAGGATTATAAGTATCTTTTTTTTTTCCATAGGTTGGATGGATTACTCACAATCAATTACTAAAAAATTATTCAAATAAAACTATTGTGTTGTAGGGCAATTTAGAAGAACAAGTCAATCTGGGGACTTCTATTGAGGGGAGCATCAAGACATATTGACAGTTGCACTTAACACTCAAGAGCATCCAGGTCATGTGTATACATTTGGATGGGTAGAGACATCCACAATGTCTTTGGACCTCCTTTAGCTACGCATATCAGTAGATCACAACTTATTGTTGATGATTGAGCTCACCTTAAATCTAAACTGAAGGCAAAGGTGATGATGGACCTCAAAAAACAACTTCCATCCATGGATTCTACACAACCTTCTCTTTCTCCTTCTACTCATCCTCTATCATCTTGAAGATGAGTTATGTTGCCCTTAACACATCAAAAGAGGATGTAATTGATGCAGCATAATTGCATGTACAATTATACATTGATGGCACACTGAAGCAATTAATTAGTGGCTATAGGCAAGGAGCACATGTTAGGGTCAATTATCAACCACTAGGAGATTTCAGATGATATGTTATGGATCAAGGTTATCGACATTAGAGAGCACAATGCTTGAGTCCTTGTGCCCATTATAGATGTTCAGATAGTGGGATAGACCCTAAGTACCTTTATCCTATGGCCATCTAGGTTAACTAGGGCCAATGTGGCTAAGGTAATCAATGTTTCAATTTATTACATTCTATTGATGTCTTTAATTAATTATGTTTTACTAAATTAATTGTATTATATGATGTTTAAGTTCCTTTTGGAATGGGGAAAACTATTGTTACTACACATGCAATTGTAACGCCCAATTTATATAATAATAATTATATATTTTCTTATATAATATTTTCGCAATTATATTATTAACAATATTTTTTTTATGAAGATAAAGATAAAGAAAGAATATTTTGTGAATTTAATACATGATATATCGTTCTAAAATATTTACAATAATGTATTATTTTACACAATATTTCTTTCTTTCACTTCTATTACCATATTTACATTGATAATGGAAGTAAATTTACAATAACAAATAAAATTATAATAGATTCATCAAATAGCCTCCACATTCTCATTTCCTTCCAAGGAAGACAACAGCTATAACAACTGCAAAATGATCTGGAATCCCAAGTAGATCCATCTATTTTATAATATATTTAATTTTAAAAACAAAGAAAAGAGAGGAGTAAGAACAATATCCAATAAATACAATAATTCCAAAAAGATACACAAAATATTTATAATCAATATTAAACATATATATATATATATATATAAATATATACAGATCATATATTAGATTTTCATGATACAATAAAATTTGAATTATACTTGTAGTGACTAGTCAGGATAAATGAGCATCATCATAATATCAACCAATAAAAGGATATTTCACCTTAACCAACAATAGGATATTTCACCTTCATTTCTTACTCATTTAAATCCCCAAGGTCAAACCTCCAGCTACAAATAATTCAAA